CTTTGGTATTTTAATAGAAGAATGTCGACTACTAGCAAGAGAGTTCCCGGACCTCAATTTCAACTGGGTTAGGAGATCGGCTAATCAAGTAGCTCACACACTAGCCAAGGCTGCTAGTGCATTACATGATAGTGTTTGTTGGTCCTATTTCCCGCCTTTATTCATTTCAAATGTACTACTTTCTGACTTGATGAATGAATAAATTTGTTTCCTTCAAAAAAAAAAAATAAAATTAATTGACATTGAATTTTAGTCATTTTTTTTTAGGCATTTTAAAGCATTTTCACTTTTTGGAACAGTAGTATATTATTTTAAAATGAAAGTGACACATGACACGTCATAAATTGAAATACTGCGCAACCGCCTCTTGAAATTCCATTTCAATCATTCTATATCTATATTATTTTTTATATTGTGTCACGTGTCAACACATTATTGGACAATTTTTTAAAAAAAAAAAAAAAACATTTTTTTGATCAACATTTTTTCTGAATTCTCACACGATATCAAAAAAGATATACACCATGGAATGTACACTTTGGTGCGTTTAATTGCGAGCATGAAATTTATATGGAAAGGAAATAAATTCTAAATGATTCAATTATCTAGAACTTATTTGTATGGAAATTATTAATTAAATGTTTTTGATTGATTTAATTTTCAACATAAAAAATATTATACTCATCAATTTTTATAGGTGAGTAGATGAGGTACTAATAAAAATACTAATAAGGTGAAATGACTGTATGGTATGGTAGTCGGGCTCACATGCACTGTAGAAAAAATTTAAGGCCTTGTATGGGAGGGATTAAAATCAGATTAAAATTGAAACTATAGTCGTTATTGTTGACTTTTATTAGACGAGTGGGACTCAATAACGGCCATATATTCAATTTTAATTGGCTTTTAATCCCTCCCGAACGGGGCCTAAATTCTGATTAAAAAGGCAGTCAAACGGGGGCTTCATGTGCCTTCGAATTTCTTAACTTCTAAACGACGAATAATAGAGTGGCGGGTGTAATAACATTTTGTTATATTCTCAGTAACAACTCAACGAATTTTAATGTTCAATGACAATTAAATAGTATTGGGAAAATTCAAAAGAACTTGTAAAGTTAAAATAGTAATTGATAAATGTTTGAGAAAGTTCAATGTCAATTGAGATGAGATGCAATGATATCATGGATTAAATTTTAGGCAAAAATTGCACAATTGTCTTCATGTAATATTCATGATAACGTGTAAGCATTCACTCAAAATGCGAAGTTTTGTGCAATTTTTGAGGACCAATTGGTTATATTCTAAAGGTTGAAGATCAATTTGTATTAGAGTAATAGGTTGAACTAGAATGTCACAATTTCTCTTAGGGTGTGTTTGGTTGCAAGTATGAAACTTATTTGCATGAAAATGATTAATTAAATGTGTTTGATTGATCTAATTTTCAACCTAGAAAATTACTTGTCCATCTTTTATTGGTGGATAGATGAGAAAATTGGGGTAGATGAGAGACAGAGCAAGTGAATTGCCCGAAAAATAAATATATCATTCTTTAAAGAAAATGTTTTCCTTATTTTTGAGAAAAATATGATTACATGACCAATTTTTGAAAAATATTTTTCATAAAAAAATGTCAATCGAATACTCCAAAAATAAGAACTTGAGTGAAAACATGACATTTTCCTTGAAAAAATGTAAGCACTTACCAATAGAAAGAGTAATGCTACTTGCAGTCGCTCACTGCAGCAGTTGCCCTATGTGGCACACACATGACATGTAGTTATTTGATACATTAATGTGGTAATTTTTTTTACCACATTAATGCATTAAATACACATTTGATATGTGTGTGTCACATATGGCGACTGCTGAAATGAGAGACTGCAAATAACATTATTATAGTAATTATGAGTTTACTCAACCAAAGTGTGCTCTATAGCTGTCAACAATAAAATAAGGTTATCTATAAGAGGGGTAAAGGGATAAAGCAATAAATGGATATGGATCAAAGTTCGAGTGTTCAGTCACTCATTTGTAAAACTTGTGTACCTATTAGGTCTAAAATAGAGAATGAATATAACTTACACGACAAACAACGAGTTTTTATTGTCATCACAGTTTCTTTTGGAGTAATGTTATTTATATATAATAGATTTCATCTCCCGNTGATAGATATTACTGAGAAAATAATACATTTTAAACAGTGATATGATAATAAATATGTAGTTATAAAGTAAGAAAAAGTTATTGATGTGATGAAAAATATTATTTTATTAAAAAATTTGTAATTGTAAATGAGATTTGAAAGAATGTGTGTCTAACATGGGCCTATTAATAATTCTTCTAAGAATGTGATTATGTGTCTTGAATATTTAAGTGGCGTTCTAGGTTTTCAACCTATTTCTATATGTAAATCTAGATACCCAAAAGCAGGGGCGGACACAGAACTTTAACATTGGGAGACACAATCAAACTTGCAAAGAAGTTAGTAGAAATTTTACAATAAAAAATTTACGTCCAAAAAAATCATATTTCATGTAATTTTACATTTAAAAATTTACGTGGGATGTGACTTTTTCGGATGTAAAATTTCGAATTTTTTTTGAAAATTTCCTAATAAAATGATCAAAATTACATTGAAAAATTTGTATCGCAAAAATAATAAATGTTAATGAAATCAT